TCGCCAGCCAATGACCAAAGGGAAATAAATCCTTAGTGAGTTAAGAATCCGGAGGGAGGCCAAGGACTACTGAGGCAAATCGCACCTGATGTATAAAATCATGTAGGTGAGTCCTTCGTTTGGTTGGATCTACTTTAGTTAAAGACAAATTACTTGTAATCTTGAATAACTTGATCCCAAATAAACAAGGGCAGAATTGCCGAATTATAAAAAAAAAAAATAAGTGTATTCTATAGGGAAAAATATGGTATATATGTATATGATAGAGTGGTAGGAGAATATGCAAAGTTTTAATATTTAGAAATTACAGATTAAGAATCAGTATATATATTAATAGTATAGTTTCTGGGAGCAGTAATGAAAGTTAATAACTAAGAGACTAATATATATTACACTAACATTAAAAAGGTAATATAAACAACTTGCTTATTATTTATTGAACTTGTACAGGCATAAGCTAATACAAATAGCTCAAGAATAATGAATAAATATATCAATATATACATTTGTAAGTTTTGTAAGTTAGTAAGCTTATACAAAAAGAATCAGAAAAGGTCAAACAGTTTGTTTTATTAATTTACTAAAAATGATAAAGACACAAAAAAACCAAACAAGATCAGGTTAGCAAAAAAAACAGAAATTATTTTGTCTGAAAAAAAAACACCATTCCCGTTAAGTATACTCTAACAATTACAAATCAAAAAACTACATAATTATATCGTTACTATAACAAATTCTAACAACATAATTACGTCACTACCATCACTAGCTCTAACAATCACTAGATCAAAAAAATTACACAATTTATCATCATACCAATAAACTCCATTTTTATAATTACTAATCAAAAATATTACACAACAAAAATGAAAAACTATGTCAATCTGTCATAAAATATTTGCATAATATTTTTCCAGTAATCAAGTAATAAATTATAACTATATAATTATACAATCAATTAATTTAGCTTCATGTTTGATTTGAGACAAAATGCTGCTCTAATACTATCATATTAGGCAGCCAATATTTTAAGATATATGTAAAAATTTTAAGCATCTTGTCTAAAACAAAAAATGTTCCAAAGCTAGGTTGATATTAAGTGAATCTAGTTTCGGAACATTTGTTGTAAATAAACACCCCTTACTATTTGATGTACATTATTTCAGGATGTGTATAGGCATTATTTTGAAGCTATATATGTTATTTTTAGATGGCGTAATTTCGAAATAATGCTTATAAGCATTATTCTGTGAAAATACGATAATCAAAAAGATATTCAATATAAGTTTGATTAAACTGTGATAATTTAAAATCTAGTAGTTTAATTTAAATGATATTTTATTTTATTTTATTTTATTTTTTTAATCTTCAAAGGTGATATTTTATTTGTTTTATTAAGATAAATAAAATACATAGTATTAAATTTAAATTAGATTATTAGATTTTAAGCTATCATAGTTTAATCAAAATGTTTTTTGTATTGAAAATCAATTATGTATAAATTTGAAATACAAATTTGAATGTTAATTTGTACAACTTGAATATCATTTTGTACAAATTTGAATGTAACTTTGTATAAATTTGAATGTCACTTTGTTTCGTCAAAAGCAAATAAACACCAAGAAAATTATTCTTCAATATACTTAAGAACAATCTATAATATTCAAGATTGGTATCCAAAATTACTATATTTTTGTTTAGGCAATTTCTATTTGTACATGGCTATATAGAAAGCCAATCAGACTGCATGATCAGGTGTAACGTAAAATTCTAAAATATTACCTATATCTCAAATTTTGCTTATGAAACCACCTTTTGGATTCTAACAAAAAAAATTCCTTGCAAAATTTTGGTATAAACTATAACACGCCCCAATCCTAAATGTACCCTTACCCTAATCCGAAGTAGGGTTTAATTTTTCATTTTATAAAAGTTGTTTTGATTTGCATATTATACAGATTTTTAAATTAATACTAGTGTACTATACACTACGTGTATCCTTAGTAATTTTCTTTTGTTTATTATATATTAACGATTAATTTTTTGTTACTTAACCATATTAAAACTACTATTTATTGAAGTTTACTAATCCTAAGGCTCCAGCCTCGCCGTTTATTAAGAGTAGAGTATATGTAGATCATTTTTATATTATAACTTATGATATCAATATAGTAAATAAACCTATGCAACATAAATACTTAGATAAATTACACCAAAGTGAATATATAACAATAAAACATCATCAAGCTTGGGTTTAACACTTATTTTATTAAAGCAAATTAAAAAAACCTTATATTGAGATATTAAAAAATTTAATTATAAAGTTACGAGTGATAACCGTATTTTGTGAGTAATTAATTTTATTCTAGAATGTTTGTGTTTAACATTCTAGAAATAATCATATGATAGACTCCAGTAATTATCGCGCCCTTTTTATTATACAATTTATTACATGATGTAATAAATAATCTAATAAAAAGATGCGACAATTACCAATGAACAAGAATGCAGAATAGTAGTAATTTCTCGACTATGGTCTTTAGAATCAACTATATTCAACAACTTGTATTTTTTCCTCCATTATTGAAAAGAACAAATTTTACTTTTAGGTTTCAGGTCTTTCAGAGGATTTGTAATTTTTAGGTTTCACCAGTTTTGGAAGTTTTGCCAAGTTATAAATTTAGGTTTTAGGTGAATCTATATTCACCAAGTATCAAGGTAAGGTTGGGCACACAAAAAATTTATGGCCATGCCCTCATCTAGAGTGTGCCCTCTATACTTCGGATATGTTCTTTCTAGATATTATAATTCACTAATACTGTATAATTTATAAAATTAAAGAAATTTCATATACATTCAAACCTTTCTAAATGCATATTCGAGGGGCAGCGACCAAAAAACCTTGTATTTAGAAAGGTATTGCATTTAGGAAGATAAAAATCTATAAGTGTCATATGAGTTGGGGCCAAACAAGGTCATGTATTTAGAGAAGTTTTTATATACCCATGCTTAGAGAATATGCATTTAGGGAGATCTGACTGTGCAAAGGTTGCTATATTAATAACTTAAACACACCTTTAAGGTATACCATGCCCCCAACTTTATTTAGAAGTTTCTCCCACAACACATTTCATGAACGTAATAGAATGCCGAAATACATATGCACAAAGTAAACAAGATTAATATTTGAATTGACCCAGCTTTATTGATTTAAATAGAATAAAAGATATGGGCTAGATGCTGGAAAAGGGACCAAATTGACAATTTTTCAAAAGAATTTTTTTTTATATAAATCAATTTAGAATAAGATCAGGATTAGTTTATGATTTATAATATAAAAATTGATTTTCTAATGATCTTTTTTTTGTCAATTTGATCCACTTTTTTTTTGTCAATTTGATTCCTTTTTTTAGCATCTAGCCCATATGTATATAAAAAATATATCAATTATTTTTTATTGTTTCTAGACTTTCTTTTTTTTGATGAAGATGAGTAATGTGATGGCGATGCGATAGTAGTTGTTAATGAATCGACTGACATAGCCGATGATGTTGAGATAGTCGACATTACCTCTACAGTATCATCAGTGGCATGCAGTATTTTATATATAGTACATGCAATTGCTGTTCTAAATGCAAGTAGGTTATAGATGAGAGAATAAACATCCTTCGGTTCTGCAGATAGGATATTTAAGGGGATTTTTACTTGATCGAGCAACCAGACTTTATATAGGCCAGATTCTTTACACATAGAGCGGAATTCTATCATATCACCAGCAACATTAATTGTAAATATTGACATATAATCCAATGCCAATTTTTCAGACATTCTTTTGTTTCTCGCTAACCTAGTTGCATCAATAGAATCCTTACCAAATCTGTTTAGTTTTTTGTGGTCTTGTATTTGTTTATTAAGAGAAGACTTCGGACATCCTGTTTCAAGATATCCAATTTCAACTTCCTTGTTATTTATTTGAGCAATAACCATATAATTAGGGCATTTTGCTCGTCTGTAGGATCCCTTTCTCTCGGCACTTGCTGAACTAGCCTTTTCTCCCCTTTTAATTTAAAAATATAATATTAATATCATTAGGATTCTTAGCATAAAATAATTGACGCGTCAATGACCTTATGTCAAAAATCCTAAGCAACTGGAACGCATTAGTATAATATTTCATAAAAATTACCATACATACAATACCTCCATATATCTGAATTTATTGGTAAATCGCACATTATAATATTTATTAATGGTGATAAGATATCACACACATATGATCCTTCATTTATGCTGGATAGCCTTACCCCTGTATATGTCTTCCACTTAGGTAAACTATAAACCTAACTTAATACTCTTAACATTTGATTTGTTAATTCTTGCAATTTCTCAGGCTTGTCTAAAAATTTACTAAATATTGCATCACCTAATATTTAAGGAGGGTTGAGACGCTTTTCTTTTTCTTTTTGAATAAATTTCTCACAAATGTATTTTAATTCAGTACTCTCTGGCAATTGGAATTTTTTACTTGGCTCTTTAAAAGTATCCAAAAATATATTCGGAATAGTAGTAAATGGTTCCAAACTATCGTCTAAAATTCCTGAGCATAATGGATAATCATATCCTAATTTCTTCACGTTTATTTCATTTAACTTATTTTCTACAACTTGCCACATGTTCTTTTCTTTTTCCAAATTCAATAATGCTAACTTATGCACTTCATTTTTTAATATTTCGAAGTTTTTTGTCACATCAATGATCCAGAGTGGTTCCACATTCTGTGAATATTAGAAATTAAAAAATTAAATTAACTATTGATGACAAAACTAGAAATGTGAATTTTTCAAACAGCCTAGTGTCTATCGATAGTTACTGGTAAATGCTAGACATATGATTAGTATCTAATAGAGCTTCGATCCTTAATCTGACTATCTGGATTGATCTTTAAATCCAGAGATATTTAGACCAGAGATTTTTTTTCAGATTGGTCAAAAGAACTTAATTAACGAATCTAAAGATATGCTACAAAGCTAGCTTTATATATAATCTAACACGGATTTAATCCGGATTTAATAGAATCCAGATTGCCTGTTAAAAATAGGATCGAAGCTCTAGTATCTAATCATAAAGTTTATAATGATTTAAAAAGTTAATATATTGTTAGTTACTGGTATTTACTCTTATATATTATTGATCTAACGGCAACTAACAGTATCTACTGATAGATACCAATCATAAATACCTACCGGTATCTACCAACTCACATTACTAGAGAAAATCTAATTACAGTTGCATTCATCTATAACCACCTATATGGGGTGTTACATATGAAAAAGACCATTTATACATATAAATAAATCAACCTTAAGTGATGATTTATATAAATTTTAAATTTAAAATTCATTTGTAAATCTTTTTATTATAATTAGTTTTCATAACTTATAGTATACTTTTTTTAATGAAAGATATTTAATCAAGAATTAAATAAATAATTTTTGAAAAATTGTCAAAATGGGCCCTTTTAATTCGAAGCACCCATATAAGTATTTTTTTTAAAAAAACTACTCCCTATAAAAAATTTTGTCAGCAATGTTCTAAAAATTTTTCTAGTTATTCTGTTTTTATTCAAAAAAATGTTCAGAATGAAGTCGATTTTCTTGAACATATACTGATTTTGTACAATGTTTATACCTAATATTATCAATTAAAAAATATTTTTTTTACATTATGGTATAAAAATTATACAATATCGTCTGGCGTTTAGAAAATCAACTCTGTTCTGAACTTTTTTTAAACAATGCCTACAATAACTATACAAACTTTTTTATAGGGATTATAATATATAAAGGGCTGTTAATCAATATCTTTAATAAAATTTTCAATCCCAAGTGTGTGATTATAGAGGATAACTATACTTGGAATTTTTAAATTTAGCTAAACAAACATACCAAAACATTCAATTCCAATGAAGAACGAATATAGTCAACTGCATCCAATATCTAAAAATA